GGGGGGGGCGAAAAAAAAATGTCTGCCCCGGGCGCCCATAACTCTGGTTACGCCACTGTGTGATAAACAGGTATTATATGAACCTTATCTAATTAAATCAATCAGAATGACATTGAAGAAGTGTGAGGACACAGATGAAGAATTTGCTATGGCAGCCACTCATTTTCCTGTTATCTGGTCTCCTATCCTCAGCTGGCATGCCCAAAGCAAAGCAAGACTGAACATAAATAGTCCAATTCCACAATTTGGCAGCTTGATGCAATGTTAGGACTGTGTAGCTATCAGCGGCATTCAATAACACACATGGAGATTCTTCAAGTTGGTTTTACTTTGACATAGACTGCATCAGTATGCCTGGCTGTTGTTGTTTTGGATACACATTTGCCTGTCTAAGGGTTTTGGACCTTTGGTAATACTTAAGGGATGATTGTTTGAAGTGTTATAAGTCACCAGCACAGATTCCGAATGCAAATGTAATCCAGTTTTATTGCAAATGCTTCACCTCAGTCGTAAAGCCAACATTTCAGGGCCGCACAGTGTCCCTTCCTCGAGGTGACACAGTGACTGTGTAGCCTTAAGGAAGGGACCCTGTGTGGCCCCGAAAAGCTGGCTTTATGGCTGATGTGACGCATTTGCAATAAAACTGGATTAAGATTACATTCTGATTCTGTGTGTGCTGGTAACTTCTCTTACCAATCCTTAAAAGAGAACTATACAATAAGTGTTTTTCCCCATAGTTCTCTTTAGTGTTACGGGAGGACATATACTAGCGTCCTCCCGTGGCCCAAAGCTCAGTATATCACAAGCTACAGCTCGCGGTATACTGAGGCCGCCGCAGCTGGGATGGATCCCGACAATACTGTCGAGATCCACGAAGCTGCTTGAATGACAGCTGGCTCTGCCTATCTGGAGGCCTATCTGGATCTATTGAGCCGACGTGTGACAGTTTAATTGTCACACGTCAGCTCGAACTATGAGGATGAGTGATTTTCACTCACCTCAAAATTCTCCTTTAAGGATCCACATGGTGCCATTTATAGTTGTCACTATGAACACCACCTTATCTGAATAGGTCATAGCGCTGGTGGAGTGCAGGTGGTCCCTTCTTCATTATATGATGTATAATCATACAGCCATCTATATTTCCTGTGGTACACTGGACTATGGGCAGGTGGAGCCAGCCCATCACTGCAGTAATGCCCTCCACAATAGTGATTGATTATCTAAACCAAGGGTAGGCAAACACCTAGTAGAATAAGGAGCACAGCACCTCAGTTCTACTCACCAAGAAACAACACTATAAATTCACACAATAGCATACTTCCAGCAGAATGAGTTTCTGCATTGTTCAAGGGAGGGGCAGGCTTTTTCTTATCCAGGTGATACTGGCTCTATAGAGGTTTTATGCACCACGTAGGACATAGGAGCAATGATTGACACCCTCTGGGGCCTAGGGGCACATCTATGAGGCTCAGTGGGCCTTGTTGGAGGCGGGTTGTCACCACACAGGAAATGTGTTTGCCTCAATACCCTTCTATGAAATTTCAGAGATGCTCAGTGGGGAGGGAAAAAATTAAACAGCAGCACACTTTTCCACCAAAGGCAGAAGCAGATGTGACAGAAATAGGTGAAGTTGGAGTTTCCGCATTAAAAAAGTTTTCCATCAAAAGTCTATTGACAGATGTTTGTATATAGATATAAACAACAGTTATGTACATCAGTTATATATCTGTATTTTATACTCACCAACTTGCAATTTTTTTCCAAGACACCTCTGTGATTTGCCGATCCTATTACTGGCCTCGCAGTAGTATTCTCCTGTATCTTGTTTGGTGACGGTGCTGAAGTGCTGGGTAAAAAGAATGCCATTATTACTGGCTCAGATCAATATGCTACTAAGGCTAATTAAATCTGTGTGATGTCAATCTGGGACTCAATCTGTTTCACTAAAGCAGATCACCTCCTTCTAAACCTGTGCTGTACATTTATATAAGCCAAATTTGGAAATGTCACAAAATGGCAATCACAACTAAATAATAAGTTAAATGCAACTGCCACCTGCCAAATTATAAGTAAAGTAATGTATTATTATACACCCCCCCCTCAATGAATAGAATAAGGAGGGCAAGATTTTTTTTTAGAATCAGCTACTTTTTGGACTGTGCCACTACCCCCTCCTTTTGCTCACTGTTTGAACTACTAAACATGATCACATTGATTTGAAAAATAACATTTCTTTTTGAAGGACAATGTAGGCCAGCATGGTGTTTACATCCTCAGGTTCTGCATATACCATGAGATGGATAGGGATCTTTTTGAGTGTAAGATAAAGAGGCAGGTATGTGTTAGGCTGAAGTACAATGAGAAATGGCTTGTTTAATACAGGACCCCTCCATTATGCAGACAGTTCCCACCTATGTGCTGCATTATAGCGTGTGAATGAGTGTAAACATGCGCTCAGGCGAGCTGTAAACAAAGCTGTTAACAGAATAACTAATACAGAATGTTAAATAATTTTTATAATGGTCACAACCAGTGAGCAGAGCTTGAGACACGGATCTGAAAAGAAGAGAAAAAGCCTACACCTACAAAAAGCTAAAATGTCTGTTTTTGGTGGATTGAGCCTTCAACTTAGACCATAAAATGTCTGCCTGAGAGAAACATGCATCTGCACAAATTGTCTGCCTCCATTTTTTTTTGTAGACAGTTTAACATTTTAAGAGACAAATCCACTAACCAGAGTGCCTGTGGTTTTATCCACTTTATAGGTCACATTGACAGATCTGGAGTTCGGGTTCTGGTTATCCAAAGGTAAACCGTCTTTGAACCACCGATATTCGGAAGCTGGGTTCCCTTCCTTCTCCCCACATTTCAGTTCTACGGCACTGCCGCTCATAGCTGAGCTTGGAATATCACACACTGGAATGCTCGGGGCCACTGTAGAAGAAAACTTTGATATTACTTAAATATTTTCACATTCCTCTTCCTGGAAATCACATTTCTTATTGTAAAAGGAATAAAATAAAACTGCTATAATTACATATTTTTCTTAACAAACAAAACACATGAACCTAATTCCAGCACTCTAAATCACAACAAATTTAAAGTGGCACATTTCACAGATGAAATACATACCGTATATAATGGTTGTGTTACATGTCAAAGCATTTTAATTTCAGTCCCTTCATTCTGGGGATTAAAGCTTCTGTGAAATCTGCTATTATCAAGTAAATTATCACATCAAATGCACTGTTATGTATTTTCTAAAAAGTCCCGTAAAATGCTACCAATTACCTTAAAACTGAGGGGGTTATGCACGAAAGAGCCGAAGAATGTAGCCAAACATTCAGCTAATCCTTCAGCTTGCTTCAGCCGAATCCCTGAATGTTTGTAAATAATAGAATAAAAAAAAAAAAAAAAAACAGCGCGGGGTCCCCCTCCCAAATCAAAACAGACCCTTTAGGTCTTGTAGGAATTTTAAAGGGGACACCAACCCCCCCCCCCCCCAAAAAAAAAAACTTGGGAGGCCCC